GCTCGTGTGGGGAACCCCGGCTCGTGTGGGACACCCGACGGGCCGGGCCAAAAGGGACTGGAAACGTCCCGCTCACCCCCTGCTGTGGGCGCGACACCTTCCGCGGGGCCAGGGTGCTCCGAGCCCCGTCCAACCCAGCCCCTTTCCAGAATCTTCCTCCTCGGGACACCTCGGCGCACCCCAGGACTTGCCCGTTCTCAGAGCTCCTCAGGGCTCACCCACATCCTTCCCCACGCTCAGGGCACCCCCAGAACTTCTCCATCCTCAGAACTCCTCAATGCACCCCCAGGACCTTCCTGTCCCTCAGGACACTTCAGTGCACGCCCAGGACTCGCAAGTTTCCAGAGCTCAGAGCACAGCCAGGACCTTCCCTATCTGCAAAATCCTTCAATGCACTCCCAGAGCTTTTCCACCCTCAGAACTGCCCAATGCGCAGCCAGGACATTCCCCATCCTCAGAGCTTCTCAGTGCACCCCAGGACCTTCCCCACAGTCACACCCATGGGGTGTCCTGCTCTGGGGTGGATGTGCGCAGGTCTGGGGGCCCGAGGAGCAGCAGGATGGAGGTCAAGCTGCGTGGCTGCCCTCGGTGGCCGTGTCCTCTGGGCGAGGGAGGCTCTGGATTCGTGTTCCCAGCCTGGCACACTCCCCTGGCACTGTGCTCACGTGCAGCCCCCAAGGTCAGGGACACAGATCCGACACCGACGGCCAGCTGGGCCGTGCTGGGAGCTGAACCGCTTTCTCCCACTAAAGGAGCTGTTTGGGGGCCTGAGGCTTGGTTTGAGTGCTCTGTGTCTCATCCACAGCAGAGATTTGTCCCTCCAGGGATGTCCCCTCACACCGGTGCCCAGCAATCTGGCTTTGAGGACAGATGAGATTCTGCCCAAGCTGTTGAAGCCGTCATTGCTGGGTCCTGTCCTCAGGCAGAGGGATGGGAAAGCAGCCCCACCATGCCCGAGGCTCAAGGGCAAGCAGAGTAGGCGGCAGATGTGGAGATTAAAAAACTTTAATGAAATACCTCTGGAATCCCAGCCCACCCAGAAAAGCCTTAAGGCTCCCCTGGGAGCCCTGGCCATGCCCTTTCCATAGCCAGGCTGGTTTGCTTTCGCTCTGCCTGCATGGCGAGGGTGCTACCGTGGGTGCCATGGTATGGAAATGGAAAACTCCCAGCACTTTTTCCCTGCGTCCATCCAGGTATGGAAATGGAAAACTCCCAGTGCTTTCCTCTCCTGAGCACTCGGTGCTGCTGTGGGCCTTTCTCACCTGGGGCAGGTTCGAGCTCCCAGCACAGCCCRTCCCCTCCAGGCACGAGGGCCAGGGGAGCCCTGGGAGCTGTTTTGGGTACTGCTACAAGACAAATGGCCTGTGCAGAAGTGTTTACAGGTATTCCCAAGCTCCCACTCCTCCGTGCTCGGGCAGTAATTGCCAGGCAGCTGACAGGGATAATTTACTGCCTGTTGGTGCTCACAATGCAAAATCTCCCTGGGTTTGCTTCCTTTTACTTTGTTTCCCTGCTGCTTTTTTTTTTTTTTTTTTTTTTTTTTTTTTTTTTTTTTTTTAAATACAGTTTTGCCTGGCCTGAGCTTTTTTCTTATTCTGAGTGTGTGCCTGGCAAGTTCTGAAGGCAATCCAGGTGAGGTGGGAATGCCCAGGTATCCGTGCCATACCCACATCAGCCATTCCCACTGTCCAGGTGCTCCTTGCACAGCCACAGGTGACCCAGGATGTTCTCTTTGTCACATTTGGAGCTGTCAGATTTTGGCCAGGGGCAGAAAGGAGTGGGGAGAGCTCTAATTCCCAGTTCTTACAGTGCTCTACCTGTTTCAAACATTCCTCTGACAGAAGAAAAGGAAACATTCAATCCCTGTCCCTGTTGTCTTCCCAGTGCTGCTTTCAAATGCCAGTATTGGATTCCCAGTTGAATATAAATTTATTATCACTGYTCATACTCACTTCTGACTCCATTCCACATAGAAATTCCTTAAAAATACACATCTGCATGTGCCCAACCCCCCTTTTTGGGTATCCCAGACACAGCTGTATTTAAAGCTGTCTCAAGACCCCCCAAACACCAGCCTGAGCCTGAGTCCACTTTTGTCCATGATGAGATTTTCTCCCAGGAGAAACAGTTGATCCTGAGACCGTATAAACGCRTTTCCAGGTGGATGTTTGATATCCCTGGAGTGAGATCCTGGTGTTCAGGGTCTCTCGTGCACGTCAGCAACACAGGGGGTGACAACACCTGCAGAAGTGTCATGTGTGTGGGCACCTCATGGAGCATCCCAGAATCCCAGAACCATCAGGGTGGGAGAGCCCTTTGGGATCACCCAATGCCACCTCAGCCCCAGCAGCATCATCCCAAAGCCTGTCCCCAAGGGCCACATCCAGACTCCTCCTGAGCACTCCCAGAGACAGGGACTGCACCCCCTCCCTGGGCAGCTCATTCCAAGGCCTGACCACTCTGACAGGGAAAAATTGTTCCTAATCTCCACCCTGAGCCTCCCCTGGTGCAATTTGAGGCCATTTCCTCTCCTCCTTTCCCTTGGGACACGGCMGCAGAGCCCGACMCYCCCGGCTGCCCCCTCCTGTCAGGGAGTTGTGCAGAGCCACAAGGTCCCCCCGGAGCCTCCTTTGCTCCAGGCTNGCTCCAGGCTCAGCCCCTTTCCCAGCTCCCTCAGCCGCTCCTGGGGCTCCAGCCCCTTCCCAGCTCTGCTCCCTGCCCTGGACACGCTCCAGCCCTGCCCACTCCTGTCCTGTCCATCCCTTTGTGGAAGCTCTGGATRATCCCCAAATCTTTCACCACTGAGGTAGGGTGGCCACCAGGTCTGAGCTACCTTGAATCTCCCAAGCTTGTTTTTTTCTCCAAAAGCATCCAAAGACTGTAGGAAATTTAATATTTAATATTTCAAAGCACAAGGTCAGAGAGGAAGGTCTGAACAACAAGTGATGGCAATTCCCTGAATACTCAGTAAGGAAATAAAAATTTCCATAATAGAGATTTTTTTTACTTTATTTAAGTGTGAACTTTGGACTTGCAAAATGTCCTGACTTTTTCATGTTGGACTTTGGGCAAACCATCCTCTCTGCATCCTGGTGTCTTCCCCATCCATCCCTATCCCAGAGAGCAGCACAGAGAGCACAGATGAATAATTGCACCTTAATAAATCACCCTCTGTAATAAAGCACAAGATAAAAATATGTCCTTGTGCATTCTATTTGCTTATGAAAATACAGGTTGTCTTTGGAAAAGATGCTGGGAATGTTTTGGGGTTGTAGCAAAGTGGTGGTCGGGCTCTGCTCCCAGGGAGCAGGGACAGGAGGAGAGGGAACGGCCTCAGGCTGGRCCAGGGGAGGCTCAGGGTGGACACCAGGAGGAATTTGCCCATGGAAAGGGCGCTCAGGCCTTGGAAGGGGGTCATGGGTGGGATTCAATGATCTGGGACAKCTTTTCCATCCTCAGTAGTTCTGGGATTCTATGGAAAAACATCCTGCACTATCTCAGAGACTTGACAAAGAAGCTGGTCCAACATAGCAGGGTTAGGAAGAAAATGAAAAAAAAGGKCATTTTTAAAAGCTGAACTCACTATTCATGGCCTCTAACCACAGCTATTTTGGGTTTTAGTAATCTGTTGATTAAGCTGGRCGAAACTTCATTTTGCATCAGATCTTCTGTGCACCACAGAAGAGCCATTTTTCTGCTTTCATTAAATACTGTAATTTSCACCTATGACACATTGCTCAATGTCAAAATAAAATCAGAATTTATCATAGGTTTAGGACTGGAATGTTGGTTATCTTCAAYTGCAGTTCAGGAGAGATTTTTGGAGGTGTTTGTAGAAAACAGGGATTGCCTGTGGAAAGAGGAATTGCCCTGCCAGGTGAGGTTTTGTTTGTCTGGGTTTAGGCAGGGCTGTAGCACAGGTCCAGACCTGATCTCCCTGCTCTTTCCTCACCTTCTCCTGAAGGTTTGTCCCTAAATACCACAAGTTTCGGGTGGATTTAGGATTTAGGACTAGGATCCAATGAGAGGATGTGAAAGAGAGGGGAAAGGGAAAGGGAGGATAATAGATGGGAAAAATCAAGGGATAAACAAAGAGTAGACTTGAAGAAGATAGGGACGGGGTAAGAAGGTGAATGAGCTAAAAGAGAACAAGGAAAACCATGGATTTAAGTGTCCAGAGGAGGCAGCAGGATGGTCAGAGGGATGGAGCAGCTGTGCTGGGAGGAAAGGCTGGGAGAGCTGGGATTGTTCAGCCTGGACAGGAGAAGCTTTGGGCTGAGCTCATTGTGGCCTTGCAAGGCCTGAAGGAGCCCACAGGACCATGGAGAGAGACAATTTCCAAGGGCTGGAGGCACAGGACAAGGGGAATTGGCCTCAAAGTGAAAAATTACAGGTTTAGAT